GCAAAACATAACCTATCTCGAGACAAATAAATTTCCCAACTAGGTCGACAGATAAAAATCGCTCTGCAGCTACTAAAATCTATCTTCCTTTTTCTTTCTACTCTCTTTTATCTTTTTTCTCCCAAAATTCTTTCTCTATTAACGCGAATGAAATAAATAAAATGATTTAAATGGCTTTAATATTAAGTGACTTTAGATATTTTATAAAATAATGATATTATAATGAATTTTCAGTAATAAAATTATAAAAATTCTATTACGGATTTTAAAAATTTTAGAAAAATATCTATAAATAAATTATTTTATTTTAAAAATTCAGGTGAAATCGATTTGCAAAACAAATACCTGATAATCCCGAACTCTCCACTTCTACGGATAGGTGCATATTTCTTAAAGAATTTTACCAGTGCTAAAAAATATGAAATAATTTGGGAAACTAAAACGCAATAATAGAGATGTTATGGAGAAGACGGTTTATTATTTGGGCTTATAATGACTCCTAAATAATTTGTTTTACTGTTGCAGGTCAAAATACAGTTTTAAAATTTTTTAGTTATAACAGAAACTACGAGCTCGTGAGGTCCCATTCTTGTACATGAGGTCGGACATAATCACAAGAGAGGCCGCGGGATCGAAGGCAGAGGGTTTTGCAACTGGATTGGGCTGTTGGAGGCGGTCCTATTTGCGGGTTGAACGCGTAGAGGGCGTGATAGCCGCTTAGGGCGTGGGCGCGGTCTGGGTACAAAAGTGGGCCGCCTGAGTGCGGTCAGACCTAGGCAAGGGCTAACAATTGCAAGCTGTGGTGCGGGGCACGCGGGCGGACAGCAGGTTATGGGGAACACAGGCATGCCTGAGGTGCTTGAGAGAGGCTACGCAGAGCAAGGGGGTGAGAGCAGGGTGTAAGTGTGCGCAGTGAGCAGGGCTAGCTAGAAACAATAGGAGCAGTGCACAGAGTTGGTTGGATGGGATGCAGTGTGTCGGGGGGATGCAGTCGTCTTAAAGTGGAGCAGAGCATGCGTGAGCGGGAACGTGCGGGTAGGAATGTGGAGTGCAAGCAAGTGCGGGGTTGCGGCTTTGCTACTCGGGTAAAGTTCTTGACCATGTAAATACAAATATTCAAAATCGACAAATTTACTTGTGAAAATGATTTCGGCTTATGGAGAATCAAAATGAAATCTCTCGTTGTTTATCAAGGAACCTTTGAGACAATCTCTAGGGAAGATATGACTGTTGTGACTGACAGGGTAAGGGCTAGGCAAACCCAATTGAGGGAACTAGCCGAATAGAGTTATGTTATAGAAGTTTGGGAGAAACTAGAGTCGTTGTACTTGAAGAGATCATTGGTCAACCGGCTGTATCTAAAGAAAGATGTATACACACTGCGGATGAATGAAGGTAAAGACCTGAAAAAGCACATTGATGAATTTAACAAAATTTTCCTTGACCTTAAAAAAATAGATGTCAAGATTGAGGAAGATCAAGATATTATTCTCTTATTCTTTTCCAAAGTAATACGGGAATGTAATTGATATATTACTATATGGAAAGCAAACATTGACCATGGTCGAGGTAAAGTCAGTTTTGGTGTCCAAACAACTTCAGTGTAGAAATGAGGATAAAGAAGAATGTGTTGGCGACATCCTGATAGCAATAGAAAGACACGAGTAAAGTAAAAAAAAAACATTTCTACATACATAAAGAATGGCATTTCAACAAAAATTGTCCAGATTTGTTGAAGCGGAAAGGAGCTACACCCAAAGATGACGCCAACATGGTTGAGACGTCAAATGGAGTCATATGGAGTGACTCAAATGTTTTGTAAATCTGAATCAAGGTGGAGTTTGTTGTGATTGATTCAAGATTTGTTGTTGTACTTTCTTTAGTTAGGTTCATATGTAGCCCCTTGTACTAGCTTGCTTAGTTTCTTGTGTAGCCCTTTGTGTTACCATTTGTGTCTATATATAGACTCCATTAGTATGTAATAAGGTAACAAAAAATAGAAAAAACCTCTCTCTGATTTTCCCTGTTGTCTTCTCTCTTCTCCCTTACAACTCTCTCCCATTCAAGAAGGAGAATCAAGAAGAAGCTTCTTCCTCATCCTAGATCCAACAAAAAGCAATAGTCTCTAGTTGCATAGTTAAACCAGATCTTCAAATATATTCATTCAATATAAATAGTTAAATAAAAGAAAATTCCTGATGTTTCAATCATAGCCCGATTTTTTCTTTATACCTGCCTTAGCAACCGTGAATTTATGATCTAATCATCAAAACATTTTAACAGGATTAAAATCAAACAAAACTTTATTCAACAAATTTGTGAAGTATTCATAGTTTGGAATTCAACAAAGAGCATATATGAGATATATTAAAAAAAAGGGAAATTTACATACATACAACTTTATAACATCCTATTTACATATCTAACACCTAAAACTTTAATATTACATCCATACCACCCTATATTATTTTAATATCAAATATACCACTTATATTTCTTTCCTACCACTCATATATTTCATTTCTACCACTCATATTTTGTATGAAAATGAACTATGGGTGGTATTTATGTAATATTAAAGTTTTAGGTGTTAAATATGTAAATAGAATAGTATTAAGTGGTATGTATGTAAAACTCACAACAACAACAATGAGACCCTATACTTATTTTACTTTTATCACTAATAAAAGAAAATATGACTTAGCACTACATAAAAATGTGGTGACGATTACTAGCAGCAGCCACTTTGCCTATCTACCCACTCAACCACATGATCAAAACCATCTAAGCTAACTATCACCCGACACATGTAAAGTAGCATGTTTCTATTAAACTATTATCACAGTTTATATATAGTGCATAAAGGTTTGTAAGCAAACTAATGAAAATGCATATAGAACACAGCCGCTACTATGAAGGTCTTTGTTCTCTATTTTCCACAGCAAACATTATCTGCTTAGTTTGTTTTCTTACATGTATTCTACTGTCTATTCATGGATCAATCAGCATCATCACAATTTGGGATGCAATTTCCCCAACACCCAGCTCTTAAGTTTGTCATCTCAAATATCAAAACCATTGTTTCAACACAACTCTCCAATAAAAACTATACCATGTGGAAATCCCAAATTCTCAAACTATTTCGCCTAAATGGTTACTAAGGATTCCTGGATGGAACCTCCATTGCAACAAACCGTCTGTTGATTACCTCCGATAGACACTCTACTCCAAACCCAGCATACACCCAATAGGTTCTCATAGAGCAAAACCTTGTCGTAGCTATCTATTCTACTACTCTCACAACTACAGTTCTTCCGTATGTTCTTCACATCGACTCATGCAATGAAATTTGGTCTGCAATTGAATGTCGACTTCAAGCCACCAATCGTTCCCGAGTCCTTCAGCTCAAAAACGAGCCCCATATCATCTCAATGAAAAACTAACCAATGACCTAATATCTCACAGCCATAAAGACTCTAGTTGACAAAATTGCAACTATGAATCGACCATTGATTTTGAGACACCATCCTCTATACCCCAATGGCTTACCTTCTTCCTACCAAGCTTTCAAAACTTCAATCAAAACCAAACTTAAAAAATTAGCCTTGAGGACATTTACTCTCTTCTCATTAGTGAAGAAATAAACCTAGCCACCGAAGCATCGTAGGAGCAAAACTCCCTGCTTTCGATTCTAAAATTGCTCTTAGCACTACCCGCGGTAGAGGTTATTATGGTAACCGCAAAAACTACTCCCAATGCTCTGCTCATGAATTACCTCACACTACTGGAGCTCGGTCAGTATCCAACCCTCAGTCTACCAAATTTGCAATAAACATGGGCACATAGCTTCCAAATGCTAGCATCACCTGAATATCAACTACAGCTCATTATTCCCTTTATCTCAATCCAGAGCTTTGTCGGCAAGACCATCCAAACCAACAACAAACTGGTTTATTGACTCAGAGGCTTCATCAGCTTCATCTAACCTCACCTCTCATATGGATAACCACCACATACCAAGGCATGGATCAAATTACAATTGGAAATGGGAGCTCCTTACCCATCGCCAATACCAGTAAAGGTTTGTTGCCTACCCCTCATAGTAAGTTTAATATTTCCCCACTCCTTCATGTTCCATCTCATTCTCATATTATCTTCTCTATCTCCAATCTCACATCTAACAACAATATCTAATTTTCCTTGATGCGTTTGGTTATCAAATCAAGGACCAGTGAACCAACCAACTTCTTGTCGCAAGTCCATGCCGTAACGGACTCCATCATCTTCAAATCTCTCCTCAGCAACCCGTCCGCTCAGCCTTGACAGCTTCAGTGTCCATAACCCTTCACTGGCATCATTACCTGGATAACCCTCATCATAAGTCAGCACCAACATCTCCAAATGCAATCACCCTCTTGACATTCAAGTTACTGCCAATATTTGCATTTCTTATAAGGCCTCCAAAGTCATAAATTATTGTTTGTTAAATCTAGTAGTCACAAGCTTTTACCACTAGAGCTAATACATTCTAATGTATGGGGTCCTTCCCCAATTATCTCACATCAAGGATATAAATATTATGTTGTTTTGATCGATAATTTCTCACACTTTATTTGGTTAATTCCTCTCCAAAATAAATATGAAGTTCCTTTTCACTTCATTCATTTCTAAACATTTATTGAAAATCAGCTACCATATAAAATAAAATGCTTACAACCCGATGGTGGCACTGAATATCACAACAAAGAGCTTTGCACTTTCCTCAACACCCACGGCATTCTACATCAAATCAGCTGCCAAAGCCAAATGGCCAAACTGAACGCAAACACCAGCGTTTATTTATTACTATAACCTTACTTCATGTCGCCAACCTTTCCTATTACCTGTGGCCCGACACTGTCAAGGCAGTCGTCTACCTAATTAACCAAATGTCATCCACTGTAACCAAGAACAAGTCTCCCTATTAACTACTATTTAAACAAAACCCACAATATTCTCACCTTCGAGCCTTCAGCTATGCCTGCTTTCCGTGCATACCACCTCCTCAACGTCACAAATTCGCCCTTTGCTCAACTCCATGCGTCTTTCTTCGCTATTCAGATACTCATAAAGGCTACAAATGCATGGATCCTCAAACTGGCCGCCTCATCGTTGACGAATCCGCATTTCCCTACCATCACTCAACCCCTCCGCATGATCACCTGCAGGCACGACTTCCCAAAGCAAGCAAATGTTAGGTTACGAGCTCGGGGAAGAGGGCGGCTGCTCGCTGCTAATGTCATGAGACCGCCGAGGATGGTCGAAATATACCGCCAAACCAAGACTACTTAATCAGAGGAACACAAGTGTGGATTGAGGGAGAAGGCTAGTGAGCTCGCAAGGCGCTCAGCTGTTTTGGAGGGTATATATCATCAAAAAATTATTTTGATTGGGCAAGAATCTAGACGCAAAATCAAGTTGTAAACTCCAAAAACTAATCAGGATCATCTGAATCCTGATTTCAGATAACTTAAAGTCAAATCGAATGTCTCCAAAATGCGAACCAAACCCGAGCTCAAATCGGTCCAAATCAAATACTCAAAGCCCCTTTTGAAAGTTTCAAACCATAATTTGGATTACCAAAAGGTTTCCAAATGTAACATACTTATAATTGAATCGAGCGGCTCAACGAGACGAATCCAGCGAGCTCATGATCGTCGAATTCGGATATCGTTAAGACATTCAAATGCCAAGTAAAAGGTCCACAATATATAAATTTTACGCAATATAAATGCCTTTTACCTGGTGCGAGTATCAAGATGGCATATTAAGTCTTTTCATTTAAAATATTCAATGCAACAGAGAATCCAATTCATACATATTAGTGTTGATTAATACAATAAATGATACTCTTGTTGTAATTCATGTTTGTTATACAATTTATTATTTCCATGTTAATTTAAATAATACATAACAATTATTTATAAATGTACTTACACTATATGATTGTGAGCATGTCATTAAAATCCTATTGGATTTTGGCTAAAAACTCTATAGAAAATTATTGAATTTCTTTGGGTTGTTGTTTCTTCCTGATAATAGGTATTTGATAAATTGATTATAGTTATATACATATAATGTATTAATATATAAAATTGGAAATGAGTTAAAATAATAAATGACATAAAAGTCATTCTGAGGTACCTGTACCTATTGTGATGCATTTGTAAGCATTATAATGATTTGGCATTATTTGACATATACACCAACATACTAGAATTTCTTGTAGGAGATATAAGATGTGTCATTGCTATTTTGATATAGTGACTATAAGTTACTATTTCATCTTTTGATTGTTCATACTGCACGTCTTATTCCTTTGACATTTTTGATTTAATAGATATGAGCTACTTGTTAAGTTTGATTTATCAAACTCACTCATTGTTACTTTTTTGTAGCAGATCTTCTAGGAGTGCTAGGTGGACTGCCGCTTCAGGACCAGAGCTATTAACAACAGAGATTATAGTTGGTACTTTTATATGTTTAGTAGGTTTTTTATGTTTGCTTTTGAGGATTTGGTAGTTTTCTTAAATATTGTTTTTTTCTTTCATACTTCATTTACTTGTTTTAATACCATTATGTGGGTGTATTATTCATTTGATTATTTATTTAATAAAATGAATATTTAATTTTCTTTCCATTGTTTACTATGGCATATATATATTTTGTTGTCTCCATTTGTATATGCATGTTTCTCTTTGTGAGTGCAAAATAAGTATTTATATCCCTTTATCGTATCACGTGTTACCGGGGTGTGTTGCCTTCTCGACCCAGGGTGTGACATTTAATCACTCTTCATCTATAAATTGCCTAATTTTCCCTTATTTAATGACAAAATTATGTCCACCATCTCCGTTTGCTTGTCAAGTTTAGGTCAACCAAATCATTCCATCATACTAATCCCTATTACATAATGTTTATCATGATCCTTCAATTGCTTGATAAATCTAGTTCATTCGATTATTTACTTTTTTAGACCCAATAATTAACATTACTTCCACATAAAATATGTTACATCAAGATCTTTAGATTCTATTCACCATCACAACAAACACTTAGCACAATTATAATCATTTATGTTATATTAATACTCTCCCATATTGAGGTAGGGCTTCCCTTTTATTGTAGAATTATAACGACTACAAAATATATTAATACTCTCCCATATTAAGATAAGGATTTTTTTTAATTAGCTATGCAAATCTTACAATGGACAAATTTAATTTATCATATTTGAGATTCTTGTTAAACAAAATACATCTCGATCAATAGCATTTTGATATTTTGATCAATAATAAAATTAATACAGAGTCATGCAAACACTAAGACCTATTTTATACCAAAATGAGAATTGTCTTCCTCAATTGGCCAAAGGATGGAGAACCAAGCCATATTACTCTTAAGATTCAAGTTGAATAATCGCGCCCTTCGATATGTTCAATAAATCAATGAAAAATATAGATTTGAAGATTAGCGCCTATGAAGAAATGTTATGATGATCGATTGAATGTTCATGCTTTAAAAATAACATTGACAAACGGTTTGAATTAGAAGATTAAGTTGCTTTTTCAATGTGATTGTACTTCTAGAAGGTCGATCGATTGATATATATATGAATTTTGATGTGATTGTTTAAAAAATTTAAAATAATATTATCCAATACAAATCTCATTGTATGTTTGAATATGCCGTTAGTTTAAAAAAATAATCACATTTTTAAAGACATATCAACATTAGTTTTGTTCCGTCCTGAAATATTTACGATGGTAGAGAGTGATATAATTTAGCGTCTTGGCTTTGTACAAAGATATAACACAAAAAAAAATAAAAGAGTATGTTATAATGTTTATAAGTGACACCATAAATTTTATATGAAAACTCATGAAAAGGAGAAAAACCATGGGGTCTGATCCAATTTTATTGAATCCACTAATGTTTGCAATTGATTACAAATGGGCCTTTCTTAGGAGGAAGATCTTGGCTCGATGTAGTAAATATACATCATATAAAGTGCATTATATGGTGGGGGTTGGAAGAATCAGTGTTGATATGTTTGTTTGGGTGGCAATATCATAGTTGATGAGCGATATAGGTTGGAAGAACCGTAGTTAGATGACGGTGGTCGGAAGGGCAGTAGTCGAGTGACGAAGGTAAAAAAGACCATATTTTGACAATGGTGATTTGGAAGGACCATAGGTGGGCAACAGTGATAAAAAAGAGCGTAAACTGTAATATACGGGAGATGGATGTCAGAAGGATTGTAGTTGGCGGGAGACGAAGGTTTAGAAGGACTATAGTTGACGATGTGGTTGGAAGGATCAAAGTTGGTGGGCCACAGAGGTTAGGATGATCGTAGTTGACGACGATGGTCATAAGGACTATAGTTAGCAGGCGACGGTGGTCGAAAGGATTGTAGTCGGTGGGCGACGGTCATTGGAAGGACTGTAGTCGGCAAGATACATAGGTAAAAAAGGACCGTAGTTTGTGGGCAACTAAGGTCAGGAGGATCATAGTTGGCGATGGTGGTCCAAATGACCATAATCTATAGTCGATGATGGTCAGAAGGACAGTAGTCGGCAGTCGATGATGATTCTAAAGAACTCCAGCGGTGGTCGGTGAACGAACAAAAGTCTAGTGATTGTTGACGAACAGGCGTAAATCCGACGGTGGTTTGGAAGAACTCTAACGGTGATCGACTAATGGGCAGAAGTCTGTTGGTGATCGACAAAAGGGGTGGAAGTCCAACAGTGGTATGGAAGAACTCTGACGGTGGTCGACGAATGGATGAAAGTTTGGTGGTGGTCAGGAAGAACTATAACGATAGTCGGCGGCTTCCCCCCTTCTCCATCCTCTCATGAAAAGAATGGGGGCTATTTATAGTTTTTTGAGAGTGACATGACTTCTAAATATGTGAAAGATTTAGGCCAATATGAGAGTGGTTTGAATGGATGACCGATATTGATCCCATTGATTGTCGATTGTTTATTGATCATTTGAAAGTCTTAATGATATCAGGATTTAGCGATATTGGGCTCATTGGATTCGTCTTGTTGAGTCGCTCGATTTGACTACAAGCATGCCTTATTCAACCATCATTTGATTATCCAATTAATGCTTTGGACACTTGATTTAGATTCATTTGGACTCGGATTGAATCAAATTTGGTGTTATTGGGTTCATCCTTGAGATATACAATTTGACTATAAGTTTGTTGAAGTTGGAGATAAGATGATCCCCATTTAAATATTGGAAGTTTCAATCTTATATATTGCATCGAGATTCGTGCTTGGTCAAGAAGATTTTTGATGAGGTATCAAGTTCTTTTATCAATTAACATCAAATTACAAACTTATCATTTTTAATAAAATAAAATTAGTAATTAAACAATTAAATTAACCCTAAACTATCAATTCATACAAAATGGAAAATATTCCTTGGCAATCCAATATTTCGACCAATGAAAGGCGTAATTGCCCTTCTATTATTCTGCTCCCGCTTCGCGCGCGTAGATTGTTAAAATAACGAACCGTGTAGGGCAGTCTCGTCCAGGAAAATTTCATCATCCCGCGCTAATTCAAAATTCGAAACAGCGCGGCGTCAAGTGGGCCCAAGAATCGCATGAGAAATATGCAAATGGAGGGCTTAGAAAATTTTTTTGTTACTTTTCTACCCGAGGTTCGTATTATCTCTAAACGCGTGAAGGTCTAAAAAGTAAGAGAGGGAAAATTTAGGACCTTACACATAATTTCTCATTTCATCGTTAAAAATTTACCGAATTAGTACCCCCGCCCAATCTTTCGCCTAAAATTCTAACGGCCAGCGTTCTTTCTCTCACTAGATCGAACGGTCATAAAGTCGCCGCTGTCCCTCGTTCGATTTACTAAAGTCCGCTCGCTCCCACTCTTCTACTTCTCTCTACCCGAATTTCTGCGAATCCATGGCAGAGAAGAGCGAATCTGGCAGCAGGCACCATGCCTACAGCCGGAAGCAGAAATCTCTGGGTCTTCTCTGCTCTAAGTAATGGACCGATCCTTCTATCTGCTTCCTTCTGAAAATTTCGTGAACGATAGTTTGGATCTATTCTTTTATTGATTGATGAGTTTCGGCCCTCTTGTTTGCTAGTTTTGTATCTCTTTACAACAAAGGTGATGTGGATACTGTCTGTTTGGATGATGCCGCCATAAAGCTGGGCGTTGAACGGAGGAGGATATATGATATTGTGAATGTGATGGAGAGCATTGGGGTGAGATCTTCCCTATTGATCTTTGTCATTTACGTTAAAGTTTTGCTTTGGGAAAAGCTATATAATTTATTGTTGTAGGTTGTTAAATTAACTTCTCATAACTTGAATTTAGAATTGGAGCTTTATTAAGGAAACACTGTTTTTTATTTTTTTTTCAAATGGAAGCAGGTTTTAACGAGGAAGGCGAAGAACAGATATCTGTGGATAGGATTTAAAGGGATCCCTATTACTCTTGAGCAACTTAAGGTTCCTGATTTTCCTATGATCATCTCTGATTATGATCCATTTACCAAGTTTATTCGTCAGATTTTCCTAAATATTGAATGCCTTTATGTAAATTAGGAAGGGACTGCAAAGGAACATAATATATCATCTTTGGAAAGCTCGTCTGCAAAAGTAGGCCAATGAGTTTTATTCTAGCTTTTAAATATTACGGTGCACTTTATATTCAGGTTGAGCATGGGCAAATTTTGCCATGCTTTGGCTTACGTGTTCTGTTTCTTATAGTTCACTTGCAATTTTTATGGTAAAATTGAAGGTTTCAGATGATGAAGACGATGATAAATCTTTAGATCACAATGATGATTATGGAGAAGGAAGGCTCTGTATAACTGATACTGCTGCAAAGCCTAAATGTGGTATGTCTTTATATATCTGTTACAGGGACTATGGTATTGTTTGATGAAATTTGATAAAAAATTAAGAATGTTTATGATGATGAAAAGAGGAAGATACTTATATTGTGTTAGCTCAAAGATGTTATTTGCTAGAATTATGTATTCCATCTGATTTTCTTGCAGTTGCAGAAAGAAAGGAGAAATCCCTTGGGCAGCTCACACAAAATTTTGTGAAACTCCTACTCACCACCAATGTAAGATTACTATGATGCTCACATATTGCTTTCACATATAATAACTCGGGTTTTATTCGTTAAACCATACCACTGGCAACCTGTAAATGATTTTGCTGCACTTGGTTTGCTGATTGCCTTATGTTCTGGTGGTCTTTTCCCGTGAGATTAGGTGCTCAAACTACTGTCATCATTAGCCTTGATCCATCTGCTTTGGGCTCGCTTTTTGAATCCTGATTTTCTATTATTTGTTAAGAGCGCTACACTAGATTTAATTGTCTTTTGTGCAAATTCCTCTATCTCTCTTTATATATATAATATGTGGGTGGAATTCTATCCTTAATGATTTCATCAATGTTAAAAGTGATGATATCAAAGCTAATTTTATATTTTTCTTTTCTTAGAAGAAATTCTCAAATGTTTGACGATTCTCTTTGCCTCTTACTTTTATCCCTCTAGATATTTTGAATCATTGATGCACATTCTTTTCATTTTTAAGCTTGTGTTTCAATTATTCCCAACCAAATATAACGGTTGTGATAGGAAGTAGAATTTTTAACCAAACCAGTGAATTGCAAGAGAAATTGGGAAGAACACACCATGAATCTTTTTATTGTAAGAAATATGAAAGAAAAATAGCATGAAACAATTGATCTTCAATTGGAGAGAAAGATTTGGCCATCTCAATTCCCTAGCCATCAACTAGAGGTCTCACAATCTAAGAACAATCTAAATTCAGTCAAAACATAACATAACCCTAACCCTAGGGTACACAATCTATTAAAAGCATACAAACCAAATAAAACACCCAAACAACCCTGCAATTTGAATTTCTGTCCCAATCGTACCCTTCTCTTTCTTCATTATGGAGTGGAACCCACCCAAGTGGAGTGAACAAAGTCTAAGACAAACTAGGCTTCAAGCTACTGTAAAATCTAGCTTGTCCCTCATGAATCAATCTAACAATATCACCATCCCAAAGACCCATATTATCCTTAAGGTGGAAGGACGAAATTTGATGCTTAATCCTCTTATACGGCTCCCTTGTGGTGTCATGCTCAAGAAGTTTCTTCTAATTTATCAACACTTCCTTGCTTTTTCCCCATCCTTGTATTACCTCTTCAGCTCCAGTGGTTTCGATTCCACTTGAAAATCCTCCGTTAATACCACGGTAACTCCACATTGGATGCATAATACTCAATAGCTCTCCTCAACTATGTCACGGGGAACACCAGGTGTATGGCAGTGGCTAGGGTTAACCTCAATTGATACGCCACTGGCGCCCCATTCCTCTCCAATATCTTATAAAGGCCAAAATACCTTGGGGATAGCTTCTCATTCCTCCCGTTAGCCATCGCCCTTTGTTTCTAGAGACGAAGCTTTGAGTATACTCTATCCCTTACTTCAAATTGAATGTTCTTCCTACGCCTATCTACCTACTTCTTCATGATATGTTGAGCCCTCAATAAGTGTCTTTTCAAATCATCCATCACCCTATCCCTCCAATTACTACTCAACTGAATAGACTGTTGTGTTACTCTGCCAAAAGTGCACTAAGTGAGATGGGTTTTTTCGTACAACACTTTAAAAGGAGTCATTTAGGAAGTTGAAAGATACGAAGTGCTATACCAGTACTCAGCTGGCACCAAACACTTTGCCCACAACCTAGGTGTCTTTGAAGCAAAATATCATATGTATGTCTCTAGGCTCTTGTTTACCAACTTCTTTTGCCATTCGTTTAAGGGTGGTAAGCAGTGGTCCTCTTCAACGCAGTCCCATGCAGCTTGAACAACTCCCTCTAAAAGTAACTGAGGAATACTTTATCTCAATCAAACACTATAAAGTTCAGTAACCCATGCAATTAGTAGGGGTGTCAATTTTTGACACGACCTGAAACTGACCAGAAAAAGTTTGAGTTGGGGTCAACTCGGACTCGAAACGGGTCTGATTCGAGTTCAACAAATCAACCTGTTTAAAAAACGGGTCGAGTTCAGGTTGACCAAGCAACCCGAAATTGACACGAAAACTCATATTTAACCTAAAAACCCATTTGACCCCAAAAATAGCAATTTTGGGTCAACTCCGAGTCATTCGTGTTGGGTCGGGTTAACTTAGACCAGAATCAGGTCAGGTTTGGGTCAGCGAACCTGACCCATTTTTAAAAACGGATCGGGTTCGGGTTGACCCGAATAGTGCTGTGTGAGTTTTGGGTTCGACTCGTTGACCCGAATTGACACTCCTAGCAGTTAGGGGTGTCAATTTGGGTTAACGGGTCAGGTTCGGGTCGAACCTAATTTGACATGGCCTTAAACGGGTCAACCCAAACTCGAACCGTTTCTACAAACGGGTCAAGTTTTTCAACATGGACCCGACCCGCATGGGTTACCGGGTTGACTTGACCTGTGACTCGTGACCCGTTCTTAAGATGTGAATAACAAACCAAATGCTGTAGTGTCGCGTGGCTGCCGCGGATGCATAGTTAGTGTGACTCGGGCGAGGTATGTGATCGCTAGGCCAGTGCGGGGCGAGGCCTGAGGCCATAAGACCAGTGCGTGGTTGGTGCTTCTCGGGCGAGTGGGCGATGTCCTCGACCACGAGGACAAGTTTATCCGGCTTGACTGTGGGTGCTAGACTAGTTGCCAGCATGTGGGATCGACAAATTGCGGTTGGGAGTCGAGGCCGACTACTCGAGGCATGCTGCTGCCGCATGCGGGTAGGTAGGAGTGGGGGGTTGGAGTCGGAGACACCCTACGTAGATGAGGGTTGATGGCAGGTCAAATTCGAGTCAATTTCGGGTTGGCAGGTCAATTCGAACTTGACCCGATTTTAAAAATGGGTTGAAATCTTGAACATGAACTCGACTCGTATGGCAAACAGGTTGACCCAAACCCGAATTTTTTTGGGCCAGGTCAAGTTTTGACACCCTTATATGTAGTTTGATCACCTCTCTAATAAATGTTGTTATAACAGTCATTGTAATGTAAGGATGTCGTAGGGGAATAAAAGGATGTCGTAATGGAATAAACTGAGCTTACTTTCTCTACCTGTTCACCACCACGAAAATCATTATAAACCCCTCAGATCTGGAAAACTCATCTATGGAATTCATGGAAACCTCCTCCCATACTCTGTTTGAAAGAGTTTGTGATTACAATAATCCCTCTGAAGCCATGGCCATGCACTTATTTCTCTGGTATGCCTCATGCCTGACCACCATCTCCTCCATATCCTTAGGCACCCCCTTCTCATTTAACTTTGTCGACAATCTCCTGTATATCTTCTGAACACTAGAGTGACCCCAATAGAGCTCCCATGAATTGAGGTCCGTGGCAGCTAGGGGTGCAAACGAGTCTCGTCGAGCTCGAGCCAGGGGATCTTCGAGTCAAGCCGACAATCAAAACCCGAGCTCGAGCTCGAGCTCTAACTCGAGTCGAGTTCAAAATCAGAGCTCAAGCTCGACTCATCGTCGTATCGAGCGGCTCGTCGAGCTCGGTTGTCGAGCCCGTCGTAACATCAGTCGTCTTGAGACCCGAGTTCCGCCCTCCTCATCGCGTCCGTCGTCATCAAGCTCGTTAGTCGTCATCTGTCTGCCGTTGAGATTCGTCTCTCGAAGTCATAGCATCCGCCGTAAAAAAATTGACATTCCGAGCTCGTCCGCCATCAAGAACCGCCGTTGAAAATCGACGTCCCGAGCTCGTCCGCCATCGCGTCCGTCGTCATCAAGCTCGCAGTAGCGCCGCCCGTCGTCCAAAGCTTGTCCGCCGTCCAGAACCAACGTCTCGAGATCCGACGAGCTCTGGACGAGCTATGCCGTCGATATCCATTGCCATGAGCTCGCAGTCGCGTACACCAGTCATCCCCGAGCTCGTCCGCCGTTAATCCGGGCGTGCACTACAGTTGTTTTGATTTCCCGCCGCGATATTTGGATTTCCCGCGATATTTGTCCATCGAGCTGCTCGTCGAGCCGGTCGAGTCCGACCTATGTTCGAGCTCAAGCTGGATTAACTGTCGAGCTCGAAATCGTGTTCGAGCTCGACTCGCCAGCTTGATAAGCTCGACTCGTCGAGCCTATTATCGAGTCGAGTCCGAGCCGGCTCGCGAGTCGGCTTGACTCGGTTGCACCCCTAGTGGCAGCACAAATATCCTCTGGTACAAGAGTATCTCCTCTTCTAGGGAATAACCAAGGTGACTACTCTTATCTTTCAATACATTCTTCTTAATCCCCTTCAGCTCTTTGTTTTGCACACTCTCCTCCTTAATAGCTCGTTGTGGACCTCCGAAAGGATATTGTTGTAGTTGCAGAGTACAGAGGGTATACGACCGCACCGCCATGGGGGATAGAAACGATCGCAGGCCTTTGCTCTCCTTGCAAGCGAGCTAATTGGAGGGCAGATTAGATCATACATACGATTAATCTTTGAGGATAGCGACTCTCACCAGCACATCTCGATGGGTGATAATATGTACGACCTGATAGTCTCATGGGGTTTCCCCCACCCGATATATCAGCTCGAGTGGGGTTTATTTGATGAAGGATTTTCATTTCTCAGGGCGTAAGCCCTCGTGGTAAATTATATCTTAGGCCGGAGCCCGAGAATACTCTCGATTAAAGATCAAATATTATTCTTCTCGAAAATGAGGATTGACACAAAAAAGAGACTAGGAGTTCCTACTCAAAGGAAAAGAAATGAACCATTGACATCTGGAGGGAATAAGGCAGTAAGGAGACAGAACATATTGTACACTCAAAGTATACAGAGGGGGAGGATAGAAGTGGTGTCATCCACGTGACGCAGATATGTAGGATTTATAGCTCCCGAAAAGAAAGAACTCACCCAATATTTAGGCGTACTATGAGACACCAAATGTAGTTGCTTTGAATCCTAGATCTAAGGTGAGTTTAGTGTTTTATTAAACACTAACACTCATATACTAACTAATGCATCTGAGCTTATATCTTGCCTAAAAAAGAAAGTCAGCTAACCATCTAGGCGCGTAAAATTCATGTTGTACAATCTTTA